GTTTTGCCTCTGGAGCTGGCCACTGGTGAGACAGATAGTGGCAAACTGAATCCTGGTTCCCAGCCCCCCCTGCTCTAACCACTAGACCCCACTTCCCTCACAGCACCGGGGAGAGAACCCAGGAGTCCTGGGATAGTTGCGGGGGGAGAATGAATTGTTGGGTGCCTCCAAGGGCGAGAGCCCCAGACAGGGGGAGGGGGGAGGAGAGGATGGGGGGGGGAAAGGGAGGAGGAGCACGGGGGATGGGCACTCACAGTTGTCCAGGCGGTACCCCATGAACCCGTCCAGCCCCCCTCTCTGCAGCAGCCGGGCCAGCTCACAGCGACTGAACACCTTGCCCCGGGCCCCGGCGCTCAGGCAGGCCAGGACGGGAAGCAGCACCAGAGCCCTCATGGCCACAGGCCGGGGCGAGGGTGCCGGGTTCGGGGCCCCACACCCTCCGTGCTACCTGCAGGGGGATAGAGAGGCGAGGGGGTGGAGGCAGGGCGAAGGGGAGAAGTGTGACACTGGCCTCCCGCATAGAGCGGGCAAAGAACCCAGGAGTCCTGGCTCCCAGGCCCCCCTGCTCTAAACCACCATCAGTCCCCTCTCCCCTCCCAGAATCGGGGAGAGAACCCAGGAGTCCTGGCTCTCAGCCCCCCCTGCTCTAACCACTAGCCCCCACTCCCCTCCCAGAGCCAGGGAGAGAACCCAGGAGTCCTGACTCCCAGCTCTCCCCACTAGACCCCACTCCCCTCCCAGAGAACCCAGGAGCCCTGGCTCCTAGAACCCCTCCCCCTCCCCCACTCTAACCACTAGACACACCCCCCCCCGCCTCTCCTGCTGGAGCCAGAATAGAACCCAGGAGTCCTGGCTCCCAGCCCCGCCAGTCTAAGGCACTTGTCCCCAAGCCGTTCCATGCCTCTGTTTCCCCGGCGGGAAGGCGATGCTGAGCGGGTCCCCCGGGGGCAGCAGTTCTGTGGGGCGCTTACCAGGCCCTGCAGCACCACAACACCCCAGTGACCCCCAAGCCGCACACCCGCCCCTTGCTCTGATGTCTCCCAGCCGCCCCGGGTTCTAGAACATCCCCGTGGAGACCCACTATGACATCACAGCGTGCCCCGGCCTGGAGCCGGTAGAGCCAACCCCCCATCTGCACACAGCCAGGACTCCTGGGTTCTCTCCCCGGCTCTGGGAGGGGAGTGGGGTCTAGTGATTAGAGCAAGGGTGCTGGGAGCCAGGACTCCTGGGTTCTCTCCCTGGCTCTGAGAGGGGAGTGGGGTCTAGTCGGGGGGCGGGGGCTGGGAGCCAGGACTCCTGGGTTCCCTCCTAGCTCTCTGGCAGGGGCATTGGGCCTCAGGAGTGAGGGGCACCAGCAGCATGTGGGGAGGGGAGCCCAGACCTGGGCTGGTGTTTTGTGTTATGTGCACCCATTCCTCAGCCACCCCGCCCCAGAGGTGGCTGCATCTCAGTCCCAGGAGAGCTGTCCCCGTGTAATGTTGCGTGTGTCTGTTTGCAGCTGCCCTGCCCCAGAGGTGGCTGCATCTCAGGAGTTGTACATAGAGAACTCCACTCCTGGGGGTGCAGTGGATTGGGGCACAGGGGAGCAGCCAGGGATTGGCGCCTGGGGGTGCTCTGGGGTATGTGCCAGGGGGCAGCTCGGCCTGGGGCTCAGTGCAAGGGGTTCTCACACCCCCCAGCCCTGGGCCAGCAGACGACAGCGCAGATCTGGGTTCCAGCAATTTATTTATTTAAGAATCAAACTCAGCAAAATCATTTTAACCGAGCCCGAGCTGGGGTGGGGGAACAAAGGGAGAGGGGGTGACAGTTCTGGGGGTTAGGCTGGGGGTCAGGGGGTGTTTCGGGGGGTCACAGTCCGGGGGAGTTGGCTGTGGCCTCGGAGAAGCTGTCCTCAAGGGTCTCCCAGGCGCAGAAGGGGTGGGCGCCGTGGGGCGCCCCCTGGCTGGGGTGGGGCAGGCAGGCCTGGCGCTCGGCCTGGGGCCCCTGCCAGTTCCAGTCCTGCAGCCCGTCGGTCCAGGGGCACTGGGTGTCGCCCGACAGCTCGCACGGCATGGAGTGACACCACACCACCTGGGGAGGGGGTGGGGTTAGAGAGAGCCACGCCCACCCACAGACCCCGCCCTTATCACATAGACCTTGCCCCCTGAACCTCATCCCCCCACTTGTGTGCTGGGAATGGTTGTGTGGGGGGGAGAGTGGGTGGAGTTAGAGAGAGACACGCCCACTCTGCATAAATTTCCCCACCCACCCGCAGAGGGGCACCCTGGGACATGCCCATCCCCCATTGACCCAGCACCTCCAAGCCCCACTTCTGCCCCCCCACCAGATGTTACAAGGCATCACCTGGGGGGGGAAGGAGGTGGGGTTAGGGACACCCCCAGCCCTCCAAGGCCCCCTTCTCCCAGCACCCCCATCTCCCAGCCCCTGCTCCCCAGACCCCTCACCCCCCCCCCATCTCCCAGCCCCTGCTCCCCAGGCCTCCCATCCCACAAGAACTCACCTCACAGGCGCAGCCCTCTCCGTAGGCCTGGCTGACCCCGCGGCGCTGGCTGGGGGAGACGCTCCCCCAGGGGCGCACGAAGGAGCACAACGAGATAATCAGGGGCTTGCCCTGCCGCTTGGCTGGGGGGGAGAGGGCAGAGGGAGTGGCTGGCACCACGCCCCATAGTGATCAAAAGCCCCCCCAGTGACCCCCAGAGCCTCCTCTAGCCCCCCACAAAGCCCCCAGATCCTGTAGCCCCCCCAGTGCCCCCCACAAATCCAGAGCCACACAGACCCACATCCACCCCCCACATACCCACAGAGCCCCCAGAACCCCTCCCCAGAGCCCCACACGGACCCACAGAGCCCTCTAAAGAATCCTAGAGCGCCCCATAGCACTGCACCGCCCCCCCCCCCCACAGGACCACTGGGCGGGGAGTGCTGTGTCTTGGGGGGGCCGTACCCGGGGGGGAGGCTGAATGGGGGGGGGCCATCTCCAGGGTGAGTGGGGGGACGGGACGCTCAGCAGAAAAGATGTACGGGGGGGCTTGGAGGAAGGGCAGGCGGACAAACCTCTGTGTTCACACGGCTGGCTGGGAGTCACTCCAGATTAAGGAAGTCCGGAGGACTTCGCTGCCTGGGGGGGGGGGGGTCTTAGAGGGGGGGGGATTTCCCCCGGGGGGGGGCGGGTGTCGGGGGGCCCTGGGGGGTATTGGGAAGTCCCCAGGGTGGGGGGCTGCCCCAGGTGGAGTCGGGGTGCTGGGGTGCCTTACCCATGATGAGGTACTCCTCCTTCCCGTCCAGGGGCGCCGGGTGTCGGTACCCACAGAGGCTCTCCTCCTCCCAGGAGTCAATGAAGAGCACGTCCCCCAGTGACCCGATCCCCTTGTAGGTCTGCAGGGAGATGCGCGTCAGAGCAGCAGGGGGCGCTGTGGGGAGCAGGGTAGGGGGCTGGCTGTGGGGGGAGCTCCTGGCTTCCCCAGTCTTGGCCTGGACCAGCAGGGGGCGCTGTGGGGAGCGGGGCAGGGGGAGTGGGGGGTTGGTGGGGGCTGGCTGTGGGGAGCAGGGGGGGGTTGGGGGGGGCAGGTACCTTTGTGACGTTGATCTCGTAGCGAATCCAGGACTGGAACTCCTCGGTGCCGCTGGGGCTCAGTGGAGTGACCCCCACGAACTTGCCCAGAATCA